GGAGCAGCCTGGGCTGGTGGGAGGTGTCCCTGCCCATGCAGGGGGTTGGATCTGGATGGTCTTTAAGGTCCCTCCACACCCAAACCAGTCTGTGATTCTCTGATTCTGGGATCCATCCCCTCTCAATCTTGGCCCATCCCAACCCAACCCCTTCAGAGAGGCCCCTCGGGCTGTTTGACCTTGGACATGTAGGAGGAAACCAAACCCTGTCTGGGGGAGAGTTCCCAGGCTCTGGGCAGTGCTGTGCTCTCCAGTAGCCTGATACCTTCCCCTTTCTCTCTTCTCTCTTGCTGCTCCAGAGCCCACAGTGGAAGAGAAACTTCAGAAGCTTCACAGTGAGGTCAAGTTTTCCCTGAAGGTGGATAACCCGGTGAGTTCCCAGGAGCCTGGGAGCTCCCCAGCTACCACCCAGCTGCTCCTGATCTCTTCCAGGATGCTGGGTGGCCTGAGGGGACCACACAGCCCTGTCCTGGGTGTCCTTGGGGATCTGGTTCCCTCCCTGTCACTTGCTACCCCTTCCTGTCCCTCTGTCCTGGGGGTGACTCTCCCCGTGCTGGGGTGAACATACCTAGAGGGGTTGGGGTGGAGGGTGGTTGTGCTGCCCACAGGGCTGGGGATCTCCCTCGAGGCAGGATCCAGAGCTTAGCTGCAAACCCCACAGAGGTTTGGTGGATGGAGACCCCATGTCCCAGGCCTGCCCAGTTTATCCCCCTTCCCCACAAAGGGATTTCCAGGCACCTTCTGATCCCAGTGCCCTCCTTGCAGGACATCAAGCGGTGCCTCAATGCTCTCGAGGAGCTGGGCACACTCCAGGTCACCTCACACATCCTCCAGAAGCACACTGACGTGGTGGCCACGCTGAAGAAGGTAGGGGCAGAGGGTTGAGTCCCTGCCTGGAGGGAACCAGGAGCCTGCTGGGACCACCCCAGCTCCAAGGAGGTCCCCTCCTCCCTCCTGCTCCTGCAGATCCGTCGCTACAAAGCCAACAAGGACGTGATGGAGAAGGCTGCTGAGGTCTACACCCGCTTGAAGTCACGTGTCCTGGGACCAAAGATGGAGGCAATCCAGAAAGCCAACAAAGCTGGGGCTGAGAAGGAGAAAGGGGAGGTGGAGAAGAGCCAGGAGAAGCTGTCGGGAGGGGAGACACGGAATGAGAAGGGAGAAGAGGAGACAAATGCTGGTAACTCTCCTTGGGCTGTTCCCTGCTCTGTCTGATGCCAGGGGCCTTCTTGGGACATGGCACATCCCCCTGGGGACATGAACAGGGACACAGCATGTCCCACTGGGGACTTGGAACATGAAGAGGGACACATCATGTCCCACTAGGGACATGAAGAGGGGCATAGCATGACCCACTGGGGACGTGGACCAGTTCACACCACATCCTCCTGGGGACTGGGGACACAAACAGGGACACAGCACATCCTGGTGGGGACCAGGGCCACAAACAGAGGTGTCTCTTGGCTTGGTGGTGGAGGAGGTGGGCAGGCACGGGTGGCACCTCCAGTCCCTCCTTTTCTGGAGTGTCAAGAGTGAGAAAGGCCTGGATATGGAAGGGTAGTGGCAGTAGGAGCAGAGGGCAAACCTCGCTCCACACCCAACGCCTTTGGGCTGGTTTTTGGGCCAGGACAGCTCCTCCCTGCCAGCTTGAGCTGCTTCAAGGCACAGGGGAGAGGGAGGAACCTGGAGATGTCCTTGGCTGGTGCCTCAGGCTCTTGCACAGGCAGCTGGTGACTGGGATCTTCCACCCGCGTGGCCAGGTCCCTGCCTGGGAATGTCCTGGTGATGCTGCAAGAGCCTTCCCAGAGGAGCTGATGGGGAAAATCCACTCTGCTGCCAACCTCTGGGCTATGGGGGGTGGAGTCTTTGGGGCCCTTCTCGAAGCTGTTGGGGTCAAGGCAGACCTGGGGTCCCCTTACCCTGGGCTGGTTGCACCTCACCTGATAATGGAGCAACCTATGGGTGTGGATCCTTGGCTTGCCCAGCCCTTCTTGGGTTGGGCTGGATGAGGTCCATCATCGTGGGGTGGCTGAGCCTCTTTCTTCCCTTTTAGAGCTGTCAGGGCCTGTGAATGGTGAATCCTTGTCCCAGAAAGCAGAGGCCACAGAGGAGAAGGACAAAAGCCAAGGGGCAGGAGCTGGGGAACCAGAGGCGTCCAATGAGGAGCCCCTCAACAAGTGAGCGTGTGAGAGGGGCTGGGGGCTGCCCCACCTCCACCTTGGGCTTCAGCATGGATGGTTTGGGTGGGTGGGGGGGTTGTGCTGGGCTTTTCACAGCTGGGGAGGGATCCTGGGGTGCAGGAGAAGGGCTGAGGAGACCCTGCTGAGGTAGCTGTGCTCTCCCCCAGCAGCCTGCAGGACCATCCTGTGGCCGGGCTGGAGCGGGAACGGGCTCACGGGGACTCGGAGGCTGTTGGGGACACAGAGGAAAGCTGAGGAAAACCAGCTCCTGCCTGGAGGAGGAGGAAGCAGAGGGGCTGCAGGGGGGGACCAGCCTCTGCCTCATCCCCTGCTCAAGTCCCTTCACCAAGTCACTCAGTAGCTGATGTCCCAGGTCTTGCCCTGTGCCCCCTGGGGGGGGCTGTGCTGGTTCCTCTGGATTTGTCCCCCTCTTCTTGGTTTGTTTATTTCAATTTCATTTTACTTGGTTGTTGGTTTGGTTTCATTTTGATTTCCTGGCCCCCTCCCCCCTTACCTGATTCCTTGTGATTTCAACCCACATGAAATGAAGAAGAAAGGGGTTGGTTTTTAAATGAAAAACAAACAAACAAAACCCCAACAACCCCCCCCAACCAAACACGAGGAGCCCCAAGGGTCTGGTTCTTGAGGCATCGCTGACTGTGACGAGGGGAGGGCAGGAGCAGCCCCCTGCCCATCTTCCCCCCTCTCCCCTTTCCTTCCCTTGGGCCCTGGCCCACCCTACGAGCCAGGACCAGGCACCCATGGGTGTCCCTATCCCTGCTGAGGGGAGTGGGACAACCAACCCGGGCTGCTTTCTGCTTGGTTTTCCAACACCTTGAACACTGGGAGGTGGGGGAGGGAACTTCTCCCATCTCCTTTCCCCACCACCATCTTCTCACTGACCAGAAGCTGGAGCCTGGTCCCTCTGCTCCAGCAGGGGAGGCAGCAGGTCTGGGCACCACCTTTTGAGTTAAAAACAAAAGAGTTTCAAAAGAAAATAGTGTCTTTCTCTCTCTCTTATCTCAGCCAGGGAGGGACTGAAATGTGGCAGCATCCTGCCTTGTGCTGGGCAGCATCTTTTGTCTGTCTGTCTGTCTGCTCTTTTGCCAAGATCTGAAGCTTTTTTTTTTTTGTACATGTAAAATAAAGATGTTCCCAGCTCAACCAGTCACTGGGTCCTCCAGTCCTTTTCATGCCAGGGCCAAGGGAAGAGGGGACACCCCCCCACACACACACACCCCACTTTGAGGCTGTTCTTGCTGTAACTCTGCCCTGGGGAGAAGGGTTATGGGTTTATTTCCAGGGCTGATTTCATGCTCCAAACCTCCATAAACAAAACCCAAATAAAACCCATTTAAAATAAGATCAAACAATGACAAAAAAAAGAGAAGAAGCTTCTTGCCCAACTTGCTGGGAAGCAAGAGGGGAAGGGGGGAGGGGGAATGGGGTGAGATTCATGCTGCTTCTTGGCATGAGGGGGGTTCTCAGGCTGGAGAGATGTGGGAACCACCTGGAATCCAGGGAAGCTGGATGGGGGGGACACAGGGAAGTGTCACCACAGCCCAGGAAGGGTTGGTTAAACCCTGAGCTGCCCCAACAAGGACCTTCTATGTGACCCCCCCACCCAGACTGGGGCATCACCCTGTGTCCAGAGGGGGGGATTTCAAGGTATCTACAAGGTTGGTGTGTCCATCCTTCCCTCCCCATACTCCTCATTCCCTGTTCCAGCCCCCATCCTCACCCCAGGGGTTGGAGTAACACCAAGACACAGACAAGAACTTGAGCAGAGCCATGTTGGTGCCACCAAGGCCCATGGGATGGTTTCAAACTGGAGCAGCTGGTGGAATCTGGGGTCCCCTCACTACATCGTGCTCTCCTGGGGGGTCATGGGTGGTGACCCCAGGACAGCCATCTCAAGAGTGTCCTCCAGCCAGGGCACCAGCAGGTGCTGGAGCAAGAACATCATCAATGCCTCCCAGGCCTGGGCCACCACCTTACGTCCCTGCTCCATCAAGGTCCCCAGCAGCTCCTGCAGGATCCTGGTCAGGTTGAAGACTCTTCCAAGCTTGGCTGTGGAACACTGAGCTTGCCAGACCTGAGCTTGCTGCCCCACAGCCTCCTGCTGACCCTGCCCCACTGTCTCACCAGCTCTTTGGACCACAGTGGGGGTCCCACACCCCTCAGCCAGTCCTGCCTGGGGGCTGGGGTCCCGGGCAGGGCTCCTGTGCTCACAGGGGTCCTGATTGTTGCAGGGTGGATGCTCCAAGTCTTGGGACACGGCCTCTGTTGGGAAGGGTAGCATGACTGTGGGGTCCCAGGCATGGTGAGAGTCCCCAGTATGGTGGAGGGGTCCCCCTCCCAGCCCAGCACCACAGAGGGTGGATCTTACCCCACCAAGGACATGCTGGAGGTGGGGGAGGTATTCGTGGGTGTCCAGCTGCCATGGGGCAGGTCCTGGTGTCAGCAGAAAGGGAGCTGAAGGGAAGGACACAGCTTGGAGACCCTCAGCTGAGGGCAAGGACATGGCTTGGAGACCCCCCCCCCCCAATGCCCCCCAGCATAGGACAAATCTGGCCTGGCCACTGTGGGGGGAGCAGGGACCCCAGGCAGTCCATAGAGTCCCTGGTGGTTCTGCCTGCAAGGGGTGGCGAGGACACAGTGCTGACCCATGGGGGGGCCAAAGCCACCTCTGGCCTGAGCCCCCCCCCAAGATGGGGGTCCGAGCCCCTGGGGCTGGGGGAGATTCTGCTCCCAGGACAACCCCAGTCCCCATACCTGCTTCTGCCCTCCCACCCCTGGTCCCACAAGGGCTGGGGAGAAGACAGGGGTCTCAGGGGGCTGTGAGATGGGGGGGAGAGGGGGAAAGAAAGGACATGAGGGGCTGCTCCTCCATAAACCCCCTTTCACTCACCTTCAGCTATGGGCCCAGATGAGGGGCCAGAGGTGGGGGGCCCAGCATGGGGCTGTCCCCTCTGGTGGCTCCATGAGAAGCCCCAACCCCTGGGAGCTCCCCCAGGGTTATGACATCATGGCTCCTGCCACCAGCTCCCCTCCCCCCTCCGCTTGGGGGTCCCAGTGCCACCTCAGCCCCCTGCCCACC